ATAAAAATTTTATTTATTCTTAAATATCAATTTTAACCAATAAAAATAAGATCTTTACTAAGCATCGAGAGGACAACTTTTTGGGGAAGAATGGTAAATAAACAGTCAGTACTTAATTAATGTTGCTTTCTAATTCACAGTTGTTGTTTTTTTATCAAATAATAACTATAAGGTTTTTTTCTTAACATATTAACAATATAAGATACTTTAAGTACATACCTAATAATCTTTAACAATTTTACTTTTGTTTTCAATGTTTATAACAAAAAGCATCAGTTTACTGGAAATTCTGGCTTACAAAATTATAGTTCTTATTATCACACATTTATAGAAAAATGTACTAAACTAAAAATTAAAATTATCCAAATAAATTAATTTTATGCCCTGCTCTAAGGCATCAAGACAAAATTAACAAATTTTACTCCATTTGCAAAATTTTATCACATGTAATAAAACTAGATTTTATTGTCAACTTTACAAATTAAGTAAGTAATTTTTACCCTCGGCAAGAACTACCGTGATTTTGCTGTTCCTAGTAAATTCAAACTCACAATATCGGACATAATGATATTCTCTATAATGAGCTGTTCCTTCATGTGCTTATGTACAATGTCATTATAGAAAAGTATCCATATCTGCGTGTGACGATATTTTCGGGCATGGGTTCCTATGCAATTTTAATCCTGGTGATATGTCCTAACTCTGCACAACATTTATGCTACCCGCTAGGGTGTACCTTTCGACAAAAAAAGAAGAAGAAGAAAATAGACTAAAAATGTCATGTGAAAAAAATCTGAACCTTTAGTAATTCAGATTTAAAATCTCCACTCCTGAAGTAGGCACTATCAATGATTTGCATGAATGCAACAAAAAATTTGTTCCCCAATTTAATCCAATGAAATACGTGCTTTTTACAGTGCAATTTGTGTAAGTTGGCAACACGTGGTATAGTATTTTGACGTCCATTTACTTATAAATAGGGAACTTTATTGTTTTTTAATGTTCAGTACTTAATTAAGATTAACTAAGACAGGTGATCAACATACATAAGTGGTCAACTTCACGTGTTCCACTGCATTTTATTAAAAGAACGAACGAGCTCGTATGCAAATTTAAATTCCAATGGAGAAACTGATAAAGAACAGAAAAAATTATTTTAATGGTTTTTATCATATATCCTTGATAATACTAAGAGTCAATAATTTTAATGTTGTGATATTGATTGACAATATTTACTGCGCATGTGCAGAAATCAATAAATTTTTACGAGGGCTATTAAGTAATAGCCTTTTGAGAATAAAAACCAAACGAAGGAAAAATTTATGAAGCAAATTTATTTTTTGATTCTACATACGTTTCTCTTTTTTTCAAAATAGTTGCCAAGATTGCTTAAACACTTACCATACCTTACAACTCGTCGTGCTGGTTATTGCCAAAATGATGTTTGTAACATCGAAAAAGATGAAAGTTACTTAGCGCAAGGTCTGGGCTGTATAGAGGGGTGGTCCAAAACTTCCCAGCCAAAAGAGTTCAATAAAGATTGGGGCTGAGCTGAGGAGAGAGTCATTGTCATGGAGTAGCAAAATTTCCTGTCAGCTGTCCAGTAGGAAGCTTCGTAAACTTCACAAATCTACCGGCGAATGTATGCAGCAGACAGGTCTTGAGGGCCAACTAAAAACGCATCAGTAACCGTACCTCATACGCTGCGGGTGAATTGTTAAGCTTGAATATTTTAAAGACACAGAATACAGGTTACATACAGAGCTATAACTAAACACAATTGTTCCCAAGGTATGCCAGGACATGACGCAAGCACTTATTGCGACGCACGCGTCACCTATTAGTGTACACAACAAAACGGCCCTTACTTTAAAAACAGCCATCGTATATGCAATATGCAATTATAAGCAATAAATAAATGTAACACTTTAAAATTTCAATGATATGCTTTATTTATTATTTTAATTATTTAAGTTAAATATTGTATTAGGTGTAAATTGTCAGATTAGCATTAATGATGAATTTAGTTTTGTACTCAATATGCATAATAACATATTACTAATCACGATACGGAGTGGATTTATTAGCAGTTTCGCCCTACGGTGCATCTTGCCCAACTCGTTAAAATCACATTAATCTTTAAGTAAGCGGAGGAAAATCATTTCTCAAATTTCGAATAATTTTCGATACTTTTTATTTATACTATTATTATTCGTGAATTAGTTTTAATAACAAAAACTTCTATAAGAAAAAAGTACTTTTTTTAGGTTTTAATTATTTATTTTGTAATTAATTGATATTTTAAATAATAGTTTACTCAATTATTGTTCATGTTTCTTTCCTCAAATTTATAAATTCTGTCAAATATACTTGACATATTAATCGTTCTCAGCTTGTAGCATCATTTATGAATTAGAATTCATTATAGATATGATATTATGGAAAACGAAAAAAACTAATTAAACATAAAACAAAAAAATACGGAAGTGAAAGCGTTATATAAAGCTTTTTAATAGAATAAAAATAAATACTATAGTAACTCTTCAGTTGGAACATTCGTATTTTATTCGGTTTTTTACTTCTTTTTCAAATGTACAACAGCCCACTACAACTCAAGGCCGTCTTAATAAGACGTACGCTATAATTCGTCAAAGATTGAAGCTTAATTTGTCTTGCGTGTTTTATTCAGTGTGGTGTCCTCTTTTTAAACCCCCAAAAATATTTTATTGATTATTATTTATATATTTTTCTTATTTATTTAAAAAATATCAGGCATAAAAACTGTATGAGTTAATTCGAAATTTTTGTTTTTTATGTCTTAATGCATGTAAAATTTAATTGCTACGCATGTTTTAAATAAATGACAGAAATTGATTGTATTCAAAATAATTAAAATGGGAAAATAATTCTACTAATTTTTAATAACATTTACAAGTCAATTATTTTACTACTTTTAATCTTTATAATTTTTATCTATTAATTATTTTGTTATTTTTGATACAAATAGAGCACCATTATCTAGCGGTTATACATTAAGAAATACTGCAACAACAAAAAAAGAAGAAAAAAAAAATTTATAAATATAACTGTATTTGTAATAAAATATTCATTAGTCCGTTTAAAGTAATTCAATAGTATCTCAAATTAATCTGAAAGGAAAAATAATTCTATTAATTTATAATAACATTTACAAGTCAATTATCTTACTACATTAATTTTTATACCTTGGAGTTAATTATTTTCTTATTTTTGAAACAAATATAGCACCATTATCAAGCTGTTATACATTGAGAAATATTGCAAAACAATCATAATAAATTTAATAAATAAAACTGTATTTATAATAAAATAATCAATTGCTCGTTTAAATAATTCAAAAGTACCTAAAATTTATTTTCCAAAGTTCAAAATATTTTTCTAATAAGAAGTTTAAGAATTATTGTCTTTTTCATTAAAATAATCAAGAAATAAAATCATACTTTTATTAAAACCCATCTTTAAATTAACTTATTGCATTAAAAAAATAGAGATTTAAGGCTAAGTAGAATAAAAGAAATGATTATAAAAATAATCGTCAAAAATTCACTGCTTAATTATGTGCCGTTAAAGCATAAAATACGTAACTTATTCTTTCGTAATTTTTTTCAATAAAGCTTTACATTTTACATTAAAACTCTCATTATGAATATCGAAATTAAAATTATTATAATTTATTCCATTTTATCACGCAATCCAAAAATCTTGTTATTGATGATTGTAGCAATCAAATCATCTCAAACCTACATTAAAATATCCTCTGGAAGCTCATAACTCTGCAGGGGGCAGAAAATGGCATATTTTCTTAAGAACATTTACCCGCTAAAATGAAATAAAAAATTTAATTAATTCAAAAATACGTGAATTTGAACAATTTAAATAAAATAGTTTTATTATGCATGCCGAAATCAATTTTTCTGCAAACAATAAAATATTAATAAGATAATGATTCAATTATTAAAAATTAATAGAGAAAAAAGAAATCATTTGGTATCATTATTTTTCGTACCATTATTTATTATTTTTGGTACAATTCATTAATAAAATTTAGAAAATTCAGGGAATGTATGATTTTGAACTTGAAAAAAGGTTAACGGACTTTTTAATGTCAATTTTTAAAAAATAGTAATAATGATAACAATATAGTGTAAATGAAAAAAAAGCAATTAATTTTCTTGAGAACATTTAACCGCTAAAATGAAATAAAGAGTTTAATTAATTCAAAAATACGTAAATTTGAACAAGATAAATATATTTTATGTAAAATAGTTTTATTACGCATGCCGAAATCAATTTTTTTGTAAACCATGAAATATTAATAAAATAATAATTCAAATTTATTTTGATTATTAAAAATTAATAGAGAAAAAAGAAATTATTTGGTACCATTATTTTTCGTACAATTATTTATAATTTTTGGTACCATTCATTAATAAAATTTAGAAAATTCAGGGAATATATGCTTTTGAACTTGAAAAAAGGTTAATAAAAGAAAAAAGAAATTATTTGGTACCATTATTTTTCGCACCATTGTTTATTATTTTTGGTACCATCCATTAATAAAATTTAGAAAATTCGGGGAATATTTATTATTACCATTATTTATTATTTTTGGAGACATCCATTTAATAAATTTAGAAAATTCAGGGAATATATGCTTTTGAACTTGAAAAAAGGGGTTAACAGACTTCCTAATGTCAATTTTTAAAAAGTAGTAATAATGATAACAATATAGTGTAAGTAAAAAAAGGAATTATTCAAGGAATAAAAATACAACAAACGAAAACACTACGCAAACATTAAAATACGTTATTCGATAATGATAAAAAAAAAAAAGTACTTAAGGTCGAATGTTGGAATCCTTATCACAAAAAAAATACAAATAAATAAAATAATTAAAAAAGAAAAAGAAAAGTATCCCCAGGGAAAATAAGTAACTCTCGTTTTTAGCCGGGTGTTTCTACATCCGTCTGAACGACTGGGGGAGAAAGAGAGATTCAAAAAGACTAGTTTATTTATTTTTTATTTTTTTCGGAGCACCGTTGAGAAAACTTTCTTTTGACCAATCAGAGCGTAGGAGCTAGGTTATCTACCTGTTTGAAATGAAACGTCGACTTGAACAACATGAGAAACAGGTGCCGATGCTCTGTATTGTTGATTCACCCGCTCGACTAAAACAAAAATGACTTCTACTGACAGCTAAACGTCAGTTCTAAAACTGAGGACGTTTTCAAATATGAGTAGTGTCCATCACCAATCGACCCTGGACGCTCTCCCCAAAGCATTTGTGACCGCCATGAGGACCCTCTTCGATGTTATGGACGACAAGAGGACGGGTTACGTGAGACTGTCGGACATCGAAAAACGCTGGCAGGGGGAGATCGGCACTAGGAATGGATTGCCCAGCGGCGTCATAGAAAGTTTGCGAAAAGTGACGCCGGCCAACGGTCTGTTAACTTTCGAACGTTTCTGTGCGGGTTTGAGAATTTGCTTACTACGGCACGATTCGAAGCATTTTGAAAACCAGACAATTAAAAAAAATCTCGTTTCCCGACCTTCTTCAGTGCCTCTCCCGGAGAGGGGTCACGGCGGGATTTCCTTACGGAAACCGGGGACACCACTGGGAAAATTAACTCACTCTTCATCCTCATCGGAACGTCTGCCGATAAGCGGTATTTTGTCACCGCCGTTACGCTTGAGTCGTCACAACACCGCCACGGTGCGTCCAAACAATGTAGCATCGTTCGTGCAACAGCGAGCTATTAGTATGCCTCAATTACAGCAAACTACCATTAAATCACATCAGCTAGCGGCTAATCGGAATGCGGCACCATCTCCATCGAATTGGGTTAAAAAAGATGGTATTATGAGGAGAACTTTACAATCTTGTGAACCCATGGATAGAAATAAAGTATCATTGGCACTTGAAAAGTGGAGAATGATGAAATCTTATCCAAATAAACAGGAAAATCAGGAGAATATGCATCCTCTGAGAAAACTCCAGCTCAGGAACTCTTCGTCTTATCCTAATCTACCGAATGATCCCGTATCCAGCAGTGATGGTAAATCTTGAATATTTTATTAATTCTAAATATTTATGTATATTAAAAAATGTCATAAAATGGAATATAATTATTTAGTTGAAAAAATTTAAAGAAATAAGTTTACCTGAATATAAAGAAAATTGTGTTTTTTTTTGGGGGGGGGGATATTTTATTCATTAAATGTTTTTTTATTATACTGCATAATTACTTAGTTGAAAGAATTTATGAAAATAATTTTGCCTTTATATGAAGAAAATTATGGTAATTTTTCTGCACATTTCAATAATTAAAAAAATTCTTATTATAATACATAATTATTTTTTTAAAGGAATGTATGGAAAAATTAGGATGCCGTCATATAAAGAAAATTATGGTAATTTTTCCGATTTTTTAATTAACTAATAAGTTTTTTATTATAACACAGATTTATTTTGTTGAAAGGTTTATGGGAATAATTGCATCTTCAAATTAGGAACATTATGGACATTTTATTCATTATCTTATTCATTTCAAAATTTCTTATTATAATACAAAATTCTTTAGTTAAAAGAATTTGTGAAAAGTATTTTACCTTCATAAGAAAAAAAATTTTGTTATTTTATCTGAATATTTTAATTCATATTTCATTACTTTTGATGTTGGTAGAAAAATGTTTTATAATAGTATAAAATTATTTAGTTAAAAACATTTATGGAAATATTTTACTTTTATAGAAAGAAAACTATTGTGATTTATCTTGAATATTTTAATAATTTCAATTTTTGACGCTGGTAGAAAGATTTTTACTATAATAAATAATTATTCACTTAAAAGAATTTTTGGAAATATTTTACATTTAAATGAAGAAAAAATCTGCTTATAGTAAATAATTATTCGGTTTGACGAATTTCAGGAAATAGTTTTACTTTCATAAATCAGTAAATTTTTTCATTGACACCATTTTTCAGGCATGAATGAAAAAAAATATTATAATAAATAATTATTTATTTAATATAGAAATAAATTTACATTTATATAAAGAAAACTATTATTATTCGTTCTGAATATTTTATTTATTCCAAATTTTTACACATTCCAACTTACAATAGAACATTAAGTTATTGAAAGAATTTATGGAACTAATTTTAAATCTTGACGAAAACTATTTAGCACATTTCAATTAACTGTAGAGCATTATTACGTTGCTGAAAGAATTTATAGAAATAATTTTACTTTCATAAATAAAAATTATTGTATGAGCAATGAAATATAACTATAAACAAAATTTTATTATTTAAACTAAATTCTATTTTTTAAAAAAAATTTCAGAATCATATTTAATTTACAGTAGGTTACCATATGTAATCCCATAAGTAATGATAAATCCTAAATATTTTATTGATACCAACTTTTTGCGCAATCCAACTTATTGTAGTACGTAATTATTTGAAAAAAATTTAGGTTTAAATAATTTTAACTTATTATGAAGAAATAAATATATTTTATTTTTTTAATTTAAAATAAATTTACATTTTCGATAGATTTTTTTGGATAAATTGAAATAATGTTTCTCATATTTCACTCTTTTTTACTCATTATTTTTTATTACTTTTTTAATAGCATAATTCGAAGCTAGATATAAAAAAAATATATTAATTCCTGTTGTGTAAATGTAAACAAAAATACCGCTGTTTTAATCTTTAATCCCTACCCTTTTATTTTTAGAGATAACATTGTTTTCACAATAAATTAAATTCTCTTAAGTAAACAAACTTACTTTTATTTTTCATTTTCATCTTTTCTATATTAAATTATTTTTATTGGGAAAATATAATTTCTATAATACATTAAGGAAAGTTATTTTTCATATTTTTAAACTTAAATATTGCCTTCTATTTTTTAATTTTTTTAATTAAGAAATGTATTTGCGTTCTTAGATTAGAGTACTGTAGTAAAGTAAATTAAGATATGCGTTTACTTTACTTTTGAGCGTGATTTTTTCATGTTTTGTATTTATTTTTCAACATTAGAATATATAATCTCAATTTAATTTATAATAATCAGTTCATTAGCTGAATTAATTTAACCCTAATTTGTATTCTATTTGCAATTTATGTAGTTACAATTCAATTGCTTTAATTATTAAATTTGTATCAATACAGAAGACAAAATCAAAAGAAATTTGGTACTTAAAAATAACATATTAACCAATAAATCAGAATACTAAAAAAGATACTAAAATGTAACAATATCTTATGGTATTTTTCAGTCATTAAAATTTTTTTTCATAATTTAGTTAAAATTGGGATGATTTGACTTTTTAAGCCAAAGCCATATCGAAAAATTTATGATCTGTTCATTATTTGATGCAAATAAATTTATATAGATTATATTAATTGTGTACTAGTTGATTTTATTTAAGCGATTTAAATAATTTCGAATTTAAAACTGACTTTTATTACGTATAATATACGTATCTAAATTCTACCTAATAAGAATTATTTTCATTGAACAGTTTTGAGTTAAATAAAAGATTTTGCTTAATGAGATCAGTAATGATCAAAAGTTTGAAAAAGAAATTATTATACGTTACATGATTAATTTTATAATTATTTCATCCATGTTAGATTTCAGAATGCTAAATCAGAATACTTAAAAAGATACTAAACTGTAACAATATCTTATTGTATTTTTCAATCATTTAAAAAAAAATTTCATAATTTAGTTAAAATAGGGATGAATTTTTAAGCCAAAGCCATATTAAAAAAGCCGTTCATTATTTGATGCAAATAAATTTATACAGATAATATTAATTGAGTACTATTTAATTTTATATGAACAATTCAAATAATTTCAAATATAAAATTGACTTTTATTACGTATGAAATACGTATCTGAGTTCTACCTAATATGAATTATTTTCACTGAACAGTTTTGAGCCAAATGAAATATTTTGTTTAATGAGATCAGAAATGATCAAACGTTTGAGAAAGGGTATTATTTTACGTTACCTGCTTAATTTTATAAATATTTCCCTCCTTGTTAGAGCTCAGAAAACTGAATCCGAATACTTAAAAAGATACCAAATTGTAACCAGGGGTCTGTTTAGAAGAAATTTAGTACCGTTAACGGACCGTTCACAAAATAATTTATCTTTTAATCGGACCCTTCACAAATTTGTTTATCTTCAATATTGTTTTGTTAATCGAATAAACCCTCCTTCTGGGGGGGGGGGGCGGTTCGAGACAAACAAAATTTCCCTAGGTTTAAATTCCAAATGTAGTATTCTAAGAAAATATTTCTACTTTTACAAACATCGGTGCGCATTCTTATTAATATTAAATCATAATTTTTTTTGTAAATACTAATGAAGCAAGACTAACATTCATTCTTTTGTAAATACTAATGAAGCAAATAATAATTGATCAATTTATATTTATTCATAAAATTAATTAATAGAATATTACGTAAATAAAAATTAATTTCTGGCTATTTTTTAAATAAAATATTATAAATTTAAGAATTATTTAATTTTACTTAATGCGTAACACATTAAAAGTGATACATTACTAAGTTGTGTTATTTAAAATATGTCAATTGAATTTATTAAAAATGTGAGTGATTTTATTTATTGTTCGTCCGAAATGAATATTCTGTGTTGAGCATTATAGGCTAAATACGAAATATATGTATGTTGCATCTCTAATTTAGTAGCAGCAATTGTTGAGCAGAATCTTGTATCTATTTACAATTTAAAAACTTCTTCAAAAGGTTTTTAGAAATTTTTGCAATAACCCTATTTGCTCAAATTCACAATAGCAGGACCCTGGTTGAAAGAATGTGACTTAACGCTTATTTTATATTCACAAATTATGAATCATTTTTTCACAATTTTACAAAAACAGGATCTTTCACAAAATGTTTGGACAGACCCCTGGTAACAATATCTTATTGTATTGTTCAGTCATTAACAAATCTTTTTCATAATTCAGTTAAAATTGGGATGACTTTTTACGCCAATGCCGTATTAAAAAAATTTATGATCTGTTCATTATTTGATGCAAATAAATTTATACAGATATTAATTGAGAACTAGTCAATTTTATTTAAACAATTCAAATAATTTCGAATATTAAAATGACTTTTCTTACGTATGAAATACGTATTTGAGTTCTACCTAATATGAATTATTTTCACTGAACAGCTTTGTGTCAAATAAAATATTTTGTTTAATGAGATCAGTAATGATCAAAAGTTTGAAAGAAAAAGGAATTATTTTAAGTCACCTGCTATAAATATTTTCCCCATGCTCGAGTTATAGAACTTTTAACTTTGTGTGTGTCAGTTTTCTGATATTTTTCCTTTTTTAATCTAAGTAACATTCATTCTAATCATGTTCTAATCATTCATTAGAATAAATCCACTTAAAAGCAACTAATTTATAAAATACGTGTACTGGCTATAAATGCAAAAGTAAAGAATAAACATTTTTTTATGACAAATATTAGACGTCAAAATTTTATGTTTAGTATATGTATGTACCATCTCACTGCCTTAGTATAAGACTGATATTTTTCTTTATCATTAATTGTTATTTTTTAAGCTAAAACGTTTAGTTCAATAATTTTTAGTGTGCATTACTAATTTATAGTTCTCTGTGGGTTTTCTATAAGTGAGATAATCATTAAATTTATGATTACATAAATTTAAGTTTAAATATGTATAAATTATGATTCCTTGAGTATCATAAAGAAGATTTAATATTAATAACTCTGAAAACTTCTTCAATGCTTGTTATTTTTACTTGCAACAGTGTAGACAAAAATCTGATTCAAATAAAACAAATTAATTAAATGCAATAAAAATCGTATCTTTATTAATGAAATCTGATAAGATTTTTATTAAAATACTAATAAATAGAAAACAAACGAATTTTAATAAAATTTTTTATAAAACTGAAGAAAAATCCAATTTTAATGAGAAAAATTCCGATAAGAATTTAAAAAATTTATTTCATTTTTAAAAAAATCTAATTTAGCTAAATAAATTAAATTTAAGCAAAAAAATTTATTCATTTTAATAAAAAAATAAAAAAAATTTCCTTCTAAAAAAATTATATTTTCAGCGCTTGATTTTTAAAGACCACTAACAATTTTATACTCTCAATTGAGGTCAATATGCGTCGATTTAAATATGATTTTCTTTTAAAAACTGATTTAATTAAAAAATTTATTTTAAATAAAAAAAATTCGAATTTCAATAAAAGAACTGAATTTTTTCTTTTTCAAAGCAATTGTTATTTTTTTAACACTTAGACTTTAAGACTGAATAGGAAAAAATTTATACTTACAGTTAAACATAATGTGTGGCTAGCTAAATCAGATTTTATTTTTAAAAAAATCGGATTTAGTTTAAAAAAAAAAAAAAAACGATTTAATTAAAGAATCTAATTTTAATAAAAAAATTCGATTTTTCTTTTTCTTAAAAAAAAAGAGTTGTTATTTTTTAACACTTAAATTTATAGACTTCATAGAAAAAAAATTGATGTTCTCTACTTAAGTTAACATTTTCAGTTAAAATATTATAGTTAAGTTCCAGTATTTAACATTAACATATTTAACGTTTTCAGTTGATAGTGGTGTGGGGATGAGGCCTCCAGAAAGAGTACCTCCAGCTAAAAAAGCAATTAGAAGAAGAGAACCCAGAAGACACACTGTTTCAAATGGTATTGACTACAATATGGTATGCAATTATGACATTGAATTATAAGTTTACTTTGAATATCATTACTTTGTTTACTTAAACTAAATCAGTTTTGTAAATTCAGCATAAAGTTAAAAACATTATTTAATATCTTTAAGATAATTCGCAGATTGAAAGTCATTTTGCAGAAGCTTCACATTTTTCGTTTTAAGGGTGACTAAAATGCAATTATGCATGCATTTTAAGCCCACTTGAAAAACGCGGTTATCTTTTTATTTTATTAAACGCGGTTAGCGTTTTCTTCCTTTTAGAATTTTTTTTCTTTTCTAAGTTGGTCGAAGATATGATAAGTTAGTTGGTTTCGACTGCTCGTAACAATCAAAAAAAGTTATTGAAACCTGTGTTGTTATCCAGCACAGAGATCCAGTCGACATTTGAGCTCCCTAGTTCAGGGCGCGTAATTTTCACTCGCCACCTCGGCCATCAAATATTTAAGACTGACAAATTAGCTATCGTGCTTCAGGAAAGCAACGCGAAGAAATCTTTTGTAATCAAAGCAACGACATGTTTCTTCTATTTAAAGCAAAATTATTGGGAGTGCAAATTAGTTCTGTTCGTTTTCAAAAGATGGCTCTAGCCGTTATGAATATTTCATAGTGTCAGCTGGTTTCGGTGGTTTCAGAGAGGTTAGACATCTATCAAAATAATATTCAGTTTATATCGCTTTGAGTTTCATACAAAAATCCTGTTTTTTACTTTGTTGAATATGTCAAATTTTGTGGTAACTAAGCAGCATTTGTGGAAGGTTTTACGTTTCTGCTTTAATTGGAAGAAAAGTGCAACTGAAGCGCATCGAATGCTTGTAGAAGCTTATGGTGACGATGCTTCTACTGATAAATCATGTAGGGAACGGTTTCGAAGTTTCAAGAATGGTGAGTTATGTTGTATACTATGAGCTGCTACAACCTGACGATTGATTCCATCACGGGCGATTAGTATAGGCTACAATTGATTCGTTTGAGCCGTGCATTACGAGAAAAACGGCCGGAATACGAGCAAAGACTTGACAAAGTTATTCTTCTGCATGATAACGGTCGGCCTCAGTCGTAAAAAATTATTTGGAAACTCTCAAGGGGTATATTTTACCGAACCCACCGTATTCACCGGACATTGCTCCTTCTGATTGTTGGCTGTTCCGACGGATACAGCACGATTTGGCAGGTCACCGGTTCACTTCTTTCGCAGAAATCGAAAATTGGATCCTAACTTAGACGAGACATTTTTTGGAGATGGAATTCGAAAATTGCCTGAGAGGTGGGAAAAAGTAGTAGCCAGCGATTAGATTAATCTGTTCATTTATTTTATTCTGAAATAAATGCATTTTTGAACACAAAAAAATTGACCGAATTAATTTGTAATACCAATATAAGTCACCTTTTATTCTACAAAACAATTGCTTTTGGAAGCATTTAAACATCCGATAGCCTCATTTTGATAAAATATAATTTTTGCCGTAAATGTGTTTTGATTTTTAAATTTCTACTTTCTTTTGTTGTTTCGGTAACTAAAAAGTTTTTTTACGACATCTGTTAACTTTTTTATAAAAATTTTATATCAAAAATTTTAACTTATTTATGAAGTAATTGCGAGCTAAAATTTTAGTGGGACTAATATGTTTAGAACTGAAATTTCTTGCCTTGCACTAACTACTTGGACAGTGGTCAAAATTTCGATCGATGATAATTTATTTTTAGTGACAAATTCCACTTAACGTGGTCAGAAAATGATTAAAACTTGCGTTGCCATCAAGCACAGAGCTTCAGTTTAAATTTGACAACTCTAGCTCCTTAGAAAATGATCGAAATTTTGATTAGTGATAAATTTTATTTGACGATAAATTTTGCTTATAGCTGTCAAGAAACAATTAGCACTTGAAATGCCACCAGACAAAAATCTCTAGCTTGAATTTGAACATTCTGACTATTTAGAAATAAATTGAAATTTCGATCGACGATAATTAATTAATTTTTAGTGACAAATTCCTCTTAAATCTGCCACGAGACGAATAAAACTCGCGTTGTTATTAAGCTCAGAGCTTCAGTTTAAGTTAGATTATTCTAGCTCCTTAGGAAGTGATCGGAATTTTAATTAGTGATACAATTTATTTTACGATAAATTTTGCTTTTTTCACAGTCAGGAGACAAATGGCACTTGAAGTACCATCAGACAAAAATCACTAGTTTGAATTTGAACATTCTGACTATTTAGAAGTAAATCGAAATAATATCGAAAGACGATAATTTTTTAAGTGACAAATTCCACTAGTAGCGGCCAGAAAACGATTGAAACTTGCGTTGTCTTCACAGAGATCCAGTTTAAAAGTGATTGATTTGACAAATGTTATTTGACGATAGTTTTCGCTTATAGCGGTCGATTGAAAATAAGACGGTCCCGCAGTGGACTGATCGTTAAGACACGGTTCCCAGCAGATCACCGAAGTCAAGCATCAGTGGCTGCGGTCAGTGTGCGGATGGGTGACCACTTGGATCAGCCTGCGTAGACACCAAGGTGTGCGGTATTGGTCCTCGTTAAACTGTTCTACCGTAAAGTGGTCGACTTCGCGTGCAGGTCGTCGGGCTACCGAAGCGGGGGTGCCATCTCCTCCGCAGAGGATCGAAATTGTGATGGCATGTCTTCGGATCATCCTCAGGGATGTTTCCCAGACCGTCGCCAATAGCCCATTGTGCAGCTCTAGTGCGACGTAAATTAACTACAACTACAACAACAAAAATAAGACGATTGAAAATAAATATTTCAATTGACGATAAATTATAATAAAAAAATTAATTTCGCTTTTAGAAGCCAGGAAAGGATTGAAAGTTGGGTTGTCATCAGACACAGGTCTCCAATTTAAATTTGAGAACTCTGGCTGTATAGCTACTTAGAAGATGGTCGAAATTTCGATTAGTATTAAAATTTATTTCACGATAAATCTTGCTGTAGCGTTTAGAAAACGATTAAAACTTGTAAGTTCATAGGTCACAAGCCTCCAAGTTTAAGTAAACAGCTTTGGCTCTTTAAAAAATGATCGAAATTTAGATGTCAATTTTACGATATTTAACAATAAAAAGCCTATAAATTCTGATTAAATATACCTGAAAACAATGAAAACTTGCATTCTCTCTCAGGTACGCTCCGCTTTATACCGAGCAATCTTACTAGTCGGAAGGTGATCGAAATTTCGATAAGTGATGGAAATTTCGATTCAAGATTAAACAAACAATAACAACAAAAATTTGAAAACAATAAAAATGAACTTTGAAAAAAATAAAAATTTGTTTTCCCTGTCTGGCACAGACCTCCGCTTTATACTGAGCACTCTTACTAGTCGGAAGATGATCGAAATTTCGATTGCCTCAGAATCGAAATTTCGATTCAAGATTCTACAAACAATGACAACAAAAACTTTAAAACAATAAAAGCTTGCTTTCCCTGTCAGGCTGAGACCTCCGCTTTATACTAAGCACTCTTACTTGTCGGAAGGTGATCGAAATTTTGATTGCCTTCGAATCGAAATTTCGATTCAATATTCTATTTTGACACACACGAAAGGGAATTAGGCGAAGAGTGATAACAATAAAAAATAGCTCTTTTTACTTATCTCGTTAAAATTCTCAACATCGATACATTTTAGTTCTTCTTTTAAATTAACACGTTTCACTTTAAAATATTTTTATATTAATAATAGAATTTCATTTTCAGATTAAAAGGTTAAAACTATTGGAGCAAGAGAAAGACTTCCTTCTACAAGGTCTAGATGTTGTGGAAAGAGCCCGTAACTGGTATTCACAACAGATTTCAAATGTTAATGAAAAGTTGGAACGTGTTAGCAAATGGGATATACCCCACTCAGTAAATAAGCAATTTATTATTTATAATAAATGATATAGATTGATGAAAAATCTAAATCAGTTATAAGTGAATTAATGATATAGATTAATTTATTTATAAGTAAATTAATGATATACAAGTAGATTGATGAAAAAGTTTCGTACACATTGAATTCAGGCAAAAATTTGTGAGCCTATCTATAAATTTTTTTTTAAATTTTTTATTTTAATTTGATAAATTATTATTAAAATATTATATAATTATAATATATTATTATTATAGATTATTATAATATATATTATCATAAAATATATTATCATAAAATATATTTTAATTACAATTTGATAATATGATAAATTTGTTTCAGAAAGTTCTCCATTTATTCATTTTTTATTAATTGTTTTTTGAATTTATTTAGGCTACTCTAGATAAAGGTTTACATTATTAAGAAAAATCTCCTTTTATTATTAATTTTCGATAAAATATTTGAGTTTATCTAGGCTTCTCTAGATTAAGATCTATATTATTAAAAAAAATCTATTATTATTTTTTGGTGAAATAATTGAGTTTACTTTTCTTCTTCTAAATATAGCTCTATATTATTAAGAAAATCTCCTTTCATTTTTAATTTTTTATAAAATATTTGAGTTATCTTGGCTCCTCTAGATAAAGGTCTATGGTCTATATTAAAAAAAATTTATTTTATTAAATTTTGATAAAATATTCAAGTTTTTTTTTTTCTAGATGAAGGTCTATTATTAAGACAAATATTCTTTGTCATTAATTTTTCATAAAATATTTGAGTTTATTTTGGCATTTCTAGGTAAAGGTGTATATCATTAAAAAAGATCTTTTATTATTAATTTTTGATAAAATATTCTAATTTATTTAAGCTCCTCCAGATTAAAGTCTATATTGCTTAGAATGTTCTCCTTAGACCTTGTAGTGAACTACAGAAAAAACTTTTTCACTAATATAATATTTTAAATGCAAAGTAAAGTGTAGTTTTCGTCTTTTCCTAAAAACTTTTTATAGTATTTTAATAATTTTCTTTAATGTATATTTAAAAGAAAGCAAGTAAAAATCTTCTACATTTAAAATTCTATACACAATGATTTTCTCAGCATTTTAAAATAATTTATTTATTTTGTTTGTTTGTTTAGTATAAAATGCGATAATTAATACAATGCTTGTTAAATGTTATTTTGAATTATCAAACACACAAAATGGATAAAGGAAGAAAAAAAAAAAGACTATCAATCAACCAAAAGAATAATAATCATTTGCTCACCAATAATGTGAAAGTGATTCGAAAAAAATTCAAGATTCGCTAAAATAAAACGAAATTACTTACGAACATTTTCTCTGCTTTCTTTATCCTCTCTGCAGAGGATCAAAATTGCGATGGCATGTCTTCGGATCGTCCTCAGGGATGTTTCCCAGACCGTTGCCCATAGTCCATTGATCAGCTCGAGTGCGACCTACCTATCTTTATGAGAGAATTACCGTTTCAGGCATAAATAAATAATCAAATTGATTCTAGAAAAAGTTGATGTGAAATATTTTACTATATTTTAATTTGTTTATTTTTTCAGGAATATTCAATGGATGCTCAACAAGAGAGGTTGAACTTCCAAATGACTAGAATATCTGAAGTAAATCAACATTTAAATGCTCTTATGGAAACATCTGAAAAGGTAAAAATATCATTAGGTTTTTCATCATTATTTTTAGAGTCTCTTTAATACAATTTTTAGATTAACTTTCATTGTGATAACATTAAAATCAAATGTTATTAAGTTGACTTCTAAATAAAATTAAATATTTTGGGAGAACAACGAATGTTTAATTTTGCGTAATGTTAAATAGTTACATACAATGAACATAAAAAGTTAAAAACAAAATCAAACCTTAAGAAATAATTTTAAAAAAATGACACGGTTAGATATTACCCGATTAAAAACTTCATTCGATTCAAAAATATACAAAATAGGAAATAATAGTCATCATGTAAGCGCTCAAAAACAGACGCCAATTTTCAAGAATTGCCAGACGTGAATGACGTCTCGCATTCAAGCAACATCTCCTAGAAGAGAGAAGGCCTTATCACGAATTAATTAAGTAGTTCGCTGTGGTGGCGAAGGGCGTAGAGCGTTGGCCTTCTAATGAAGTGAACCAGATTCGAATCCCAGCGATGGCTTGTCGATACGAATTCCGCACCCGGTTCGCATCAACTACTGTGCTGACAGTACCTCAGTGTTAGACGGATCAGAGTCCCTTGCCATCAGGCAGAGTCCCCTTGCCGTCAGGCTAACCGTGGGAGATTTATCTCTCCGTGTAACGCAAATACGGGTTAGTTCCATTAAAAAGTCCCCAACCAAAGCAATTTTCTCCCAATCCAGGAGTTCCATTGTCGTCTATATTGTATTCGAAATTACAAGACTACGTAGTTGAACAATAGTAGTCGTAAACCCAAAATTGGGATGACTGCTCAACGGTGGTTATAAAAGAAAAGAAAATTAAGTAGTTCGACGTAACGAACATAAACTGTGCAATAGAGGAAAAATAAGAAAAATGTCACGACGTTCGGACTACTAAGCTACGCAGTGGGGGCAAATACAAAAGATGTCATTACGTTTGGACTTCTCTTTTCAAGGAAGAATTAATTCATGTCTGGTAAGTCTTGAAAATGGGCGCCTTTTTTGAGCGCTTAAAACATACTTACTGTTACTTCCTGTTTATTTATTTTTGAAGCGACTGCAGTTTTTAACCTGGTAGGTCAAACCTTAATTTTTGATATCTGTTTATAACTTATTACTCGAAAAATTAAAATAAAATATATCAATAATAACACTTCGCTTTTTTTTTCTTTAACTATTGAGGCAGCTGAAGAGAATTCTACTATCAAAAATATAATATTTTAGCTATACAGTACAGAACCCGTTATCCGGAAATCAGAAAACCAAAAAACCGGAACGAAATTCGATGAATTTTCCCACCATTTTTTAAAAAAAAAAATTTTTCCTCATAAGATTTTACGATTTTTGTTTCTTTTTTGAAAGATGTTTACCATACCATCATTTTAGAAATAATCATTACTGTATTACTTCATCGTTTTTTCTTCTTTTTAAGATTATTTCCTAATATTTTGTTTTTAGTTGGGTTTAACAATAAAAAAACGGCTCTTTGTAGCGATTCAGGAAACCGGAAAAATCAGTTATCCGGAATAGTGATGGTCCCGATCGTTCCGGATAATCGGTTCCCTACTGTATTTATAAAATATTAAGCAAAAATCTCTTTTTTGCAAGGGTTAAAGACACATAGATGTATGAATTTAATATTTAACAATAATTTTAACTTATTAGGTTCAAAAGCTCCCACTATGAGAACAATGACTCTTTTCATTTACAGACTTTCTCTTCATAGATTAATTTAAATGTAACTAATTATAAACTATGATAATTTTATATTTTTATCAGAAAGAAAAATGTTTAAAATGAAAATAAGCAGAATGAGAAAATTGTGGCTCCTTTTCCCCCTTTCACTTTTTTGAATGCAATCCTTAAAAATAATTTTTTTAGAAATAAGTCATCTTCAATACCTGACAAAAGTTTATTAAAAAAATTTATTACAAGTAGTTGATAACAACCTTCCTGTTTGTCGATGTGGAAGCTTTGGCGAGAGGTATAGAGAGCAAGCAATAAAAATAAAATGAATTAATTTTTTCGTAGAAAATCTTTCATTCTGCTTTACAAGTTAATTATTAAATGTGATAATTCTAAAAAAATAAAAATATTGTCATTTATCATAAGTGGTCAATGACATATTAACTTAATTATACTAATATTATCAATTATTTTATTAGATACTTTTGGAATTAATATTTTGTTTTTCTCTCATGCATAAGGCAAATAACTTTTTTATAAATTTAAAGTTATTCAAAGCATTGCTTTAAAAATGATTTCGCATAAACAAGTTGAAATTTATATTATGATATACTCATTTAAACAATTTTTTACAGGGATTTCCAATTCATATGAATTTAGCTGTACATCAGAGAAACATATATGGGCAGCAGAAAACAGCAACGCAAACCATACAAAGATTGAAAAGCCAAAATCATGCATTAACAGAAGTTAGTTGTTTTACTTATTACAGAATCTTGACTTATGTCACTACTGGAACTATTTTTCACGAAATAATAAAGTAAAATAAGTACATTAATTTATGTGCCTTAAAAAGTTAAAGGTTAACAAAAAATTCATCTAGAAAATTGCAGGTTAAAATATGTAGGGGGAACATAAAATGTAAAATCAACCACTCTTTTTTTTACCATTTTAATTGAACATTTTCAAAAAAATATTCGTTGCTTTAATTTTTAAAAAAATTTTATATTTTGGAACTATTTCTTTAAGTTCTTAAAAATAATATTTTAGAATAAAGTAAATACATATTATAAAAAAAATAAATAACAATTCACGAGAAAAAATATTTATTTTCTCACTCATTCTTCTCTTTTAAAAAGTATTTGTTTTTTTAAAAAATTTGCTACTTGTCTAAATAAACACAATACTAAACTTTATGATACTCATTTTTGAATAAAGTAAGAATGGAGATTTCATTTCCTTATACTAACACACACGTAGCTAATCTTTGCATTACTCATCCTTAAATAAAGTAGGAATGGAGATTTCTTTCCCTCTATTAACAAGTAACTCTGTAATATTCATCATTAAGGAAAGTAAGAATGATGATTTCTTTCCCTATACTGACCCGTAGCAAAACTTTGTAATACTCATCAGGGGTCTGTCCAGACATTTTGTGAAAGGTCCTGTTTTCGTAAAATTGTGAAAAAACTATTCATAATTTGTGAATATAAAATAAGCGTTAAGTTACATTTTTTCAACCAGGGTCCTGCTTTTGTGAATTTGTGCAAATAGGGTCCTGTTACTGCAAAAATTGCTGAAAACCTTTTCAAGAAGTTTTTAAATTGTAAATAGATACAAAATTCTGCTCAACAATTGCTGCTACTAAATTAGAGATGCGACACACAAATATTTGGTAACTAGCCAATGCTGCTCAACACAGAATATTCATTTCGGACGAATAATGGAAACAAAATCACTCACATTTTTAATAATTTCAATTGACATGTGTTAAATAACACAACTTAGTAATGTATTACGCATTAAGTAAACTGAAGCAATTCACAAATTTATAATATTTTATTTAAAAAATTGTCAGAAATCAATTTTTATTTGCTAAAAAAAAAACAACTAAACTCAGTGGCGTTCAATTAATTTTATAAATAAATATAAATGGATTAATTATTTATTTACAAAAAAAAATTATGATTTAATATTAATAGGAATGCTCGCACGATGTTTGTAATAGTAGAAATATTTTCTTAGAATACTACATTTGTAATTTTAACTTAGGGAAACTTAGTTTGTCTGGAACCATCTTTCTCCCCCCCCCCTCTCCCTTGGGAAGGGTTTATTCAATTAACAAAACACTAATGAAGATAAACAAATTTGTGAAGGGTCCGTTTTTATGAAAAGATATTTTGTGAAGAGTCTGTTAACGGATCCAAAATTCTTTTAAACAGACCCCTACTCATCCTCGAATAAAGTAAGAATGGAAATTTCTTTCCCTATAATAAAAAGTAACTAAACTTTGTAATAATTATCCTTGAATACAGTATGAATGGAAGCTACTTTACCTACACAAAAATTAATGTAAAACATGTTTTTTTAAAGTATTTTTAAAAGTAATAATGTTAAATTGCAACCTTAATATATTCTTTATTTCTAGGAAATAGGTAAAAAGAGTGAACTGATAACACAGCTAGAAACGGAAAAATCATCTTTGATTAGAGAATTATTTCACGCCAGAACATATCCTCAAAAAGAAACAAATGATACAACACTATGGTAGAAACAAGAATAGAATTTGTATATATGTAAATATTGATATAAAATATATTACAATAAAGTTCTTATTTTATAGTTGTTAAATGTATGTATTGCAATTATTAATAATACTCTAAATCAAAGTGAAAAGTAGTTTATTCAGTATATATATATATATATTGCTTAATATCAAAACTTAATATCACTTTATCAAAAATCACAACTTAAAAATATTTAACTTTGATATAACAATGACTTAGCATCATCACAATATTATAGCATAACAATATCCATAGTTACAAATTTAGGAATTTTACATGTATTTCTTCATTTGTAATGTAATTAGAATCATATCAGGAAATAATAAGAAAAGAATTATGAACTTAGTTTAACAATACAACTATGTATGTCACAAATGTTTTTTTTTTTTTTTTTTTTAAATAACTAATGTGAGAAAAGTAAATTGTGAATATGATATCATATATAGTTAACTTTTATTTTAAAATCAAGCAGGAAAAATGTAGGAAACTAGATTAATAGCAAAATTAAATCGATTTAAATTATTAGAAAAGTGATTAGTTCACTATTACAAATAGTAAATGTATTTCAATATTGATATCTTATTCTTACACAGTAAATTTCAAAATTAAAATTGTTAGCAATTTTAAGAAATTAGAGGTCAAAATATTTAGGTACAATTTATAAATACTAATTTTAAATAAGAGGACTATTATGTCGCTTATATTTAGTTTTTAGCCTTTAAATTAATAAAAACAATTGTTATTTTTAATATCTATAACAAAAAATTGGAAGTGCACATTTTTTATTGACTTTTCTAATTTAATAAAAATATATAATTATATGGTAATTCTTAGAAGATTATGGTCATAACTTACTAAAGGTAGTGCTTACTTTGATTCAACAATACTGTGATGGAAAATTTAATTTGTACTTGAATAACAACACATTTCAATTTTTGAAGTAAATAAAAAAATAAAATTTTGTATTTTGAAAGAGAAAATTTTGCATAAACTATTATGATTTTGAATTTAATAATTAACACTAAAATGAGAACTGTCTTTAACGCCAACGAACAAAAAACAAAAAGGGACAAACGGCATCAAATACTATTTTGTTATAAGATTCTAATTTCTATTAGTAATTTTACAAGGACTGTGAACAGTTTCATTTCTCAAAACATTAATCATGAACATCAAACACATTTCAACAATATTTTTGAAGTATAAAATTCTTCACGATTTCTGATGCGACATCGGCATAATTTTAAGAAGCTTGTGCGTTAAAAAAATTGCAAACATGACTCAATTAGAATTTTTAAAAAATACTAAAATAACATACTGATGAGTTTGCATACAAACTTTGTACCTCATAACATATTCACAAGTCGGTTGCAGCTTTTATGACTATTGCACCTTATTATTCACCTTTAATTCTTCATATATGATAACAATAAAAGATATGAAAGAAATAGGGTAGGCTGCACACTGAGAAAACAAGCAAGGGAAGTATGGGAGACGGATTTCCATATGTTTGCACACAGGTTATAGTTATGAGCATATAGTCCACTTCAAATAAACCAAAAATCAATTTCAACACAACAAAACAACCTCAAAAAAATCCTCAATTTTCGTAAGGGATGACATCTTGACAATGCAACCATCTTAAGAGAAAATACTTAATAGCATAAGAAAACACACACAAACATAGCATACATGTTTTACATTACACACAGCTAGATAAGATTCTTTCCTGTCACACAGGAAATTTCTTAAAGAATAGCTTATTTACAAACAAAAAAACTAATGTGTTAAAAACAGTTTAAGAACATCATTAGTATAGCTTCTTAAAAGCTTAAAATTTGATTTAAAGCAGCAATTTCCAACCCATGGGGCACAACCCACAAGAGAGCTGTGGACAATGTAGTACTGGGCCGTAAACGATCCCAGATCTATGGAGTATGTGAACCCTGTACTATGTTTTCTTAAATTATTAGAAAAATAAAAATTGAAATAAAATGAATGTTGAAAGTGATTTAAAGCTAACACTACTTCAGTTTCAATCCAGGCTGACTTTATCGATGAGGACAAACAGTGTTAAAAGTTCAATATTAAGGTTTTTTTTTTTTTTTTAACTTTTACCATTTTTAGGTTTTTTTATAGTTCAGACAGCTAAATGTACTCAATATATATATATATATACAGAAGAGCGCTGATTATCCGAACGCAGTTCGGATAATGGAAAGTTGTTTAAAATCTAGTTTAAATGATTATTATTTATGCACCAACTTCCCTTCACACTTTTTCCAGGGTTAGGACTGGCAGTACTATCTAAAATAGCTCTGGCGCGTTTTAAAGTTTTTTTTTTCTTTCAATTTTTAAGTAATTTTCAATTTTATTTTTTTCTTCCTTTTTTTTATTTTGATTTTTTTTAAATCAAATTTCAGCTTTTTATAATTTTTTGTCAATTACTGATTTTACCACATTTTTCGTTATTTTCCATTGCAAAAGAAATTCAGCAAAAACTTTTGGTTCAAAGATTCTCTTTTTTGAGCAGCCATATCCCTTATTCTTTTTAAATAAATCAACTGAACTCTATCAACATCATTTTGACGTTCTAGCCAATTCATTGCAGTATCTAATGAATTGCATGCTTCTATATCAGAAGGTCCACTATCTTAAACTTGAACACCTACTTCTTCCTCTTTGTCTGTGGAGTTCCGATTCCGATTGGAAGATAATTTTCAGTTGAAGAGGGCTAAAAGGGTATGTAGGTAGTTTCATACACGTAAACAATACATGTATGAATGACTACTATAAGAAAACTGCTAAAGAAGATTGTAAATTAAATATGGTCTTCAGATGTAGTGGATATTATTTATTCTTCTAAATTTAGAAAAATTGTCGATAAGTTAAAAAGTATTCTAAACTTAAAAATATAAAAAATTTTTTTAAAAAAACGAATTCGGACATAGTTCGGATAATTGGACATTCGGATAATCGGCGCTCTACTGTATATATATATCACACTATTGCTATATTTTGCTTTGGCTACATTAATACAATATTAGAATGCGATTATATTTTTTTGCTTTTTTAATTTTTCCATGTTTTTGATATTTTCTCTATATTTTTAACTAATATATAAATATTTGTGATACACATATAATAAATTTCTATTTGTAATAACATTTTTGTACTTTTATATTTAGTTAGGCCTCAAAGTTTTTTTTTACAAAAATGGTGGTCTGCACAACTGAAAAGATTGAGAACTGCTGATTTATAGCAAGTAATATAGTGGTTAATACTAATAAAAAAATATTACAGAAGCAAAAAATTAAATAATACAACAATAAATCAAAATAATTAAGTAAAAGTAGTAAATAATTAAGTAAAAGTAAACATAAATAAATCTAAGACATAATTTACCGACAAAAAATATATTATCATATAAAAAACATTCAAAATAAATAAATATTTCTAATTTAATATTATCAAAATCTTTCACAATATAATAGTAAACGATCTTAACAGTTTTATCCATTAAAAATTATCTTATCAAGAAAATAATAGAAGAATCATTAATCAAAAAGCATAAACCTGCTGAGATCAAGGTAAGTTTTTATATTTATTATTTTAAAAACTGAATAAAGGTCATAATTTTAAAATGGTGTAAAAATTATAAATTTTTTAATGTGCGTACAAGCTTATTTTTAATCTTTTTTAACATTTTCAGGTATGTTAATAATTTTAAAAAATTTCTACCAGTTTCTTTTACTAAAAATTTCTTAGAATCATCCCATGTGTACTAATAAAAATTCCTTTTTATACGGTTCTGGTTCTTAAAGTTAATCTTGGATCATCCTTACTTTTATTGATGTGAATTGAGAATCAAGGACTTTCTAGATTGTCCATAGGGCAATGTAAAAAGCATCTTTAAACATACAATCAGTTATTTAAAGACCTTATTGGAATGGACAACAATTTTGAAGTAAATTAATGTATTGATTTGGAATTGTGTGCACAACAAGCCTATTTCCCATGTGTTTCAACGTCTGAATAGTGAACTACACCTTTTACTTCAAGCGGCAGATTTATTTTATTAACCAAATTTTTATGGGCTTCATTATTTTTATGTACTTATTTGAAGTTTTAGAGTACATCAATAGAGATTTTAAAATATATATACCTCAAAACATTTTAGACAATAAATGAAAATTTTTTAAGATAAACTCCAATTTTATCACCAAAAATTAAATAAAAATATAGCTTCAACTAAGAGAAAAATTTTTTTAATGAATGATGATAATATGAATTAAGATTTTCATACTAAAGATTATTAAGATTATCATTAAATTATTTAAATAAATATTAAGGCAGTGCTAAAAAAAAAATTTTTTTTAATTAAGTAGAGGAATGGAGTGGTATCTTTTTTCAACAAAATAAAGAAGAGTAGTTTTGTAATAAAAGTACTTATCTCGCAATATTATAAATTATAACAGTTATAAAAGTATGTGATATAAATGTTGAAAAATTAATAAAAAAGTAAATATTATTTTACACTGAATTTATGAATATTTATTATACATGACAGACATAATTAAATGTATCAAAAAAAGAAAAATTTGTTCTGGTAGGAAGTTAAGCAATGTGAAAAGAAAAAATTGGGAGGTTATTTTTAAAAAAAACCATTTTAGGATGATTTTATAGTAATCAACATTACAAACCAATAAAATTTGATTAATTTTTTTAACTAGATAATTTTCTAGAAATCACTACCATTTTTTTGAAGAATATCGAGTTAATCTTTTCATTTAGAACTATAATCATTAAAGTACCTAAAAAGTTTGCAAACAAAAATTTCTACTCTAAAAAAGGCTAAAACAGGCTGTACAGAATTTGACACTTCGTTTTAAGGATCTGGACTCATTCTATTATCCTGAGGATTTTCAATTATAACTTTTTTATTTCTTTGTGGTTTACATTAAAAAATAATTCATAATAATTCTATTCCTTCTGAAAAAAAAGTTTAGAGGCAAATTTAAAAGATATTGACAGTTGAATTAAAATTTCGTTTTAAAATTTGAGCAATGTACCTTATTGAACAATATATGAGTACTATCAGAAGGAAATATATTTATTTTTGAATTTAAAAATTTCTTTCAAAGAAAACCTATTTTTTTCCTTGAATTGAATAAAATATTATTTTAAAGTTGATACAAATAAATTATAAAGCAGTTGATAAAAATAAATTGTATATCATAAAACATTATGTAATTAATTAGATAGTTTATTTTTAGTACAACTTATAAAGGTTTAAATTGCAGCAAGGCATTGAAAAAAAAAATAATAATTTTAGAAAAATAACCTTGATTTAAATTTTTAGCATATTTTTGAGGTATTACTGTCACTTTGAAACATAAAAAATGTGAAATCTGTTTGGTGATTGAATATGAAGTAATATTTATTTATTGAATAAAAAAGTATTTATTTATTCATATATTAAAAAAATAAAACCACTTTATTTCACCACTTGCATATTTCCTGCCTTACTCACAATATTTCTAAAAAAGTATAATGAAATTCCTTGCCCATTCGCGTAAAAGTTCATCATGTTCTAATCTACAATGTAAATATGAAGAATAAATTGTTTAACATATCAAATATTTTCTGAAAATTTTAAAATATTCAAAGTATTATGACTCAGATGTAATTAATAACCATTTATAAAAGAATTAAAAAATTTGGCGATTTTTACAATAGGCAAATATTTATCACAAATCTTTAAAATGAAACTTTTTATCACAAAAGCATTATAATAAAGCTATATAGAGACATACAATTTGCAAAACAACAAAAATAATAATAATAATAAAAACACCCATAATAACTTTAAATTCAATTATTTGATTTTTATATATTCTAAAATGCAATCTTAGAAGTTATAGGGGTTAGCCTAAAATAATGTTAATTAATTAACACAGGCAATATTTCAGGATATGAAATACAGCAAGACCTAATTTTTGTCAAATTTAGAGTTTTGATTTACAAAATCTAAAACAAATAAAAAAGTTTAGTAAGGATATATTTAGTTGCATATTTAATGTATGAAATTCTGATTATTCATTAATCTCATTTTGATAAATTGATCTTATTTTTATGCATTAGGTCAAAAGTTACAAAAGGTGATTTGAGTTTTTATTTCTTTGGTCATTATTTATTGGCTTTTTTTTACTTTGATTTATTTTATTTACTGCGATTTATTTCATTTACTTAAATTTATTTCATTTACTTAAATTTATTTTCTTCGATTTATTTTATTTACTGTGATTTATTTTATTCACTTTTTTATCCAGACTGCGCATAATAATAAAAACGAGGCCCTTAAACTGATAATTCAGAAATACAATTTTATTTCCATTGATAAGATAGTCCACTACAAATGACGTAGCCTTACATTTTTATTTGAATTTATCACTTCCGACACACCATTTGATTTTTCATTAGTTGGATAAGATATTCCGTCACTGGGCAGGTCTGACTTTAGTAGTGGAAACACCCATGTCAAATACCACTTTATACCTAAACTTTCAACAATATTTTTTCTCCAACCCAGATCATAGAGATTAATTCCCTGATTTTTCTCAAAAGAAGTTTGATTTTGCAACATTTGTCTAGTATGGATTAAAAGCAATCCAAATACAAAAAGGAACCCAACAACAGATAACACTGACAAAAGTGTGTAAATGAATACTCTGAAACTTAAATACCCAAACACAAAAAATATAAATGGTAAAATATGTGCAGCTAAAGAAAATACAGAAAAACCTCCCAAGAAATCCCATATAAAATGCATGTTGAAAGAGGCAGCATATAGAGCACCGATAGCTAAGTAAAACAGGAATAATAAATAAAATCTGAAGTTTTTCAAACCAATGCAACACTTTGAAAATGCACAGTGATGATCCCTCTTCAAGGTACATACATTGCACTTGCTGCAATGAAAGGAACGAACTGGTGAATTTGCTTCACAGCCAGCACAGAAGAGCCAACCTGGTTTCAAGACAGCGGGAGAAATAATCTTTCTTGTCGTAGAATCAGTCCACATTATGAAGGCTAAGTTGCTGAGGATGTTGATGAATATAAATGTCCCGAGAGTAACGTGAAAAAATGTGGGTAATATACCTTCCTCCAAACTAGGAAGAACTATGAATACTTCGAAAATGAACATGGAAATCACACTTGTCAAGAGAAAGCTGAAGGAAAAAGTGTCAGAAAAAAGAAATGTGTATCTGGCGAGAAGACTTCTACTTTTTCCAAACATTTTGAAATCTGAAATGAAAATACATCAATCAGAAATTTAATGATTATAATTTAATGATATTACCTATTAAATCCAAATAAAGAAATGAATAACCTAATGCTACATACAGGATGTTAAAAGAGTCCCTCAAATATCTCGAGAATAGATGCATTTAATCTTTTTTAAAAGCTATCCATTGATCTTCCACACCAACCCCTTTGGGACAAATTTGAAATCTTAAATATGAACCGTTATTTTTTATAGCAGATTTGGATTCACCAGAAAAAAGTAACCTTATTTGACTTATAGGTTTATAATGATACCTCATAGATGGCTGTAACTGAGAAAAATTAAAAATGGTGCAAACTGTTTTTAATGCTGAATCTCTAAAATTATCAGAATAAGTACATAAAAATATACATTTCAAAATTTTTATAAAATTTTTTTAAAGAAAAATTCTGATTTTCTTTTTTTAAATTATTATTTTTTAAATCTGATGAGTTTTGAAAAACCACCACTTATAAAGCTTGTACCCTAGTTAATTTTTCTCAGTTACAGGTTCATTAAGATGCAAAAAGCATACTTTTAAAAGTTCATGCTCTTCTGGAAAAACCTAATCTGCAATAATAAAAAAAAAAATTGGTCCATATTTAAGAATTACAAGTTCCCTCCAACCTAATTCTATGGGGTAGGGGTGAAACATCAAGTTTGGTATAATTGGACAGGTTTTGGGAAATATTTTATGTCTCTATTTACACTTTTTTGATTTGTTATATATTTCTTGAGATATTTGACGGTTTCCAAACTTTTTTACACCATGTACATATATGTATATCTAAGCAATGTAAAATAAGCACAAATAAAGCCACACAAACAGGCACATTACAGTTTCAGTTCTATAATGAAGAACCCTTTTGTAACTCATTAGTAATTTTCATCATATCCATGCTTCCTTTTACTGTGTTTTATGATTTAAGAAGATTTTTCATTATAGAACCAAAATTATATCACAACTATTTATGCAATATTATTTTTGCTCTTCCATTTTGTTTACAAAAACAAAAAATCCACCTGGTTGTTTAATTATCAGCTGATAATTAATTAAACAACCATCAAAAATATCAATAAAAATTTGACAACCAACAATAAAATTTCAAATTGACTTAAAGTCATCTAAAATTTTGAAAAGAAATTAAAATATTGGTAGGAAGAGTTATAATTAATTTGCGGGAAATGAAATGTTTCACTAGACTAAGATCAACACATTAATAAAGTTGACAAAATACTTTTTTTGAATGTCGATTTAAACATATTAATAACAGAATAATGAAAATAATAGTTTTCCGAACATTTAAACTATTTTTTTCTAAATATTCCATTTTTCATGCAATTATTTTCCTTTTTTAAATTTAAAAAAGAATATTTAACTGCTACATAATTTGTTTAAAAACTTAAATACAAAATTTTGCTAAAAAACCAAGCATGCAAATAAAAACATCTATCAGAAACAAAATGTGAATAATGAAACTTTTAAAAGATATGAAATATACAAAACAGATTCTGAAATATAAGTAACAGGAATAAAATTGAAAACATATATAAGCCCAGTAAGAAATTTGGATATATTACACATGTGATTTATTGTTAGACCCAATTAAATACAAAGTTGTGAAAATAACGTAGCTTAAAAGATTTAAAATGCGGAATAGGGAATGCGATCATAATGAAAACATTTTTTTCTTGCTTAAAACAAACGAATTTTAACAAACAATTGAAATTTATTTGAGATATTTAAAAAAAGTCTAAGGGCTGCATTATTACATGTGATTAAATATCCAATTTAAAATATTGGATGTAAAAACTTTACAGCCTGCAAATATGCATTGAGCTTACATTATCTGATTACGCTTCTAAGTAAAGATGATAAATTTCAGGGAGTTAAATGCTGGGAGTTTTCTAACTTGAAGCTTCGGCTGAAACAAATTGTTTAATTTTCTATTCATAAAAAGGGCGTAGTTTTAATTCATCACTCGAGCTCTTCTATTTCTTCTCCAGTTATCAACTTTTTGTTTGTAAACAATGGTTTGCCTCAGCGAGTAAGAAGGGGGGTAGAGGAACGACTCAGCCTTGGGATTCCTCAAATAGCACCACGCCATCTTGGATCCATTTAGTCTGTCATTATTCCCTATAGGTGGCGCTAGAGAGTTATTCGGTGATGCTGTGTTTCGGTTTCGGCGGTTATATTTGAATAGTTTTCAATACGAGTATTTGTTGTTCATTAGTCTGCAATTTGGATATTTTAAATAATAACGCTTATTATAATTTGATGATCATTGAATAATGCCAAGAATATGTTTTTGCCCTGGTTGTAAGACCGGATACACATCGGATACTAATAAATTAAAAAAGGATGGAAAGAAAGTTCCACCTTTATTTGGTACACCAAAGGTAAATTTTGTTTCCGATGTATACCATTTTATTTCAAATGATTTATTTTTTTACCCTTTTCAATTTATTAATTGAGTTTAATGTTAGACATTAAGTTATTTAGTCTGTATATTCTTACGTCAACATTTAGCAACTGTAAATATTAAAAAAACTTATATCTTCCGTTTTCAATAAGTGTGCATGTCTATCATAATGTTGTCCATCATAATAATGTTGGTATTTTGTGACTGTTAATTATTTGGTTTCCTAATTTTGTGCTACACGTAATCGATTTGTTAATCATAAAAAAATGCATTCTTATCAGAACAACCTAAAAATTATCCCTTTTAAGAAGTAATAGCATTGGGAACAAGGATTCAACTATGGTTTTGATTTGTTTAAAAAGGGTTTTGAAATTAGCAATAAGCCAGTTTTATTCTTTTATTATGAATAATATCTTATGTTTTACATTTCAATTTATGTATTAAATTCTTTAAGAATACCTTTCCAATGTACTTTTTAAACGCACTTCTCCTAAATTAGATTTATAGTTGTAAAAATTCTGACTGCATTGAAGTACATTTTATTTAGTCATAAATTATGTCTACAAATATTTAAAATAAAAATTTAATTTATCTAACAAAGGTTTTGTACAATTTTTTTCTTAAAAATTTTGTTATAGTACTCAGTATTGGTATAAGTATAATTTATTCAGTTAATAATATTACATTGAATTGAATATTTGATAAGTTGATATTTCTCTATTACATGCTGAATTATCCATAAAGCATTTTGACTTTAACTATAATTACTTCGATTTGAATATATTTAGTAAAACTTCATATTTCTGTATTAAATGCCAGCAAATGAATACTATGATAAAAAATTAAATAAAAAAATCATTGTTTAGGTAGGAATAGTTGCAATTAATAATGATAGAATGACTTACAACACGATCCTCGGGCCGGGCAAGGCTGACTCAGCATATCATCCCTTCAGTGGGTCCATAAATGAGTACCAAGCATGCTTGGGAACTAAACACTGGGGGTTCCGTGTTCGGCTGACCAGCTTACCGGAACATCTGCTCCTGCACCCCAGAGCCCAAGGTTAAGAAAACTGAGATGGGCACAGTAGGCATTGGCCCTCAAAGGCTGTCGCGCCGCTGAGTTTAGTTTAGTAGTTTTCATATGAGCACTCGGTCAGAATGAGCAAATATTATGGTGCCTTCGCGCTTATTATAAGAGAGTTTAACTGTATACAATAATTGCAAATTTGACTATGAGCGAAAGCTTAATTCTATCTAGATGTAGGCCCGTATTATTAAAGCATAGTATCATACGTCAGGTTAAGAAAACTGAGACGGGCACAGTAGGCATTAGCCCTCAAAGGATGTCTCGCCGCTGAGTTTAGTTTAGTAGTTTTCATATGAGCACTCGGTCAGAATGAGCAAATATTATGGTGCCTTCGCGCATATTATAAGAGAGTTTAACTGTATACAATAATTGCAAATTTGACTAAGAGCGAAAGCTTAATTCTATCTAGATGTAGGCCTGTATTATTAAAGCATAGTATCATACGTCATCTTAAGTTTATGAGATGTTAACTGAGCTCAAAATAAGAAATTAATATTTCAAGTTATTTAATCCTAAAAATTTCTATTTACTTCTTTTCTTCCAAAATATTTCATTTTCCACAGTTGAGAATTGTACAAAACATATTACAAAAGGCCAACCAGAAACAATTAAAAAAATTCTGACAACTGATTGTAAGTGAATTGAACAGAATGCCTCCTATTATTAGGAACTAGAAACTACGACTAGGTACAGAAAGTTTCTAAAATATTTTGTGGGGAAGGCTATTTCTTCTTTTATCTTAAAAAAGATTTAAAAACAGAGTTATAAAACCATTGATCACCCTCTTAATTTAAACTAATAAGTTTTAATAGAATAAACAAATTAACCGGAAAGAAAAAACGACAGCTGTAATGAATTATGAATAAAAATAAAATAAAATTGACAAACTTAAAGAGCATTGTCCCAAAAATTATATAGCTATACCTTTAAAGTCAGTTTCAATATTGAAGAATAAAAATCTTTTTAAAACATCATATAAAGTAAAGTAAAACTACATATTTTTAGAAGAATGAGATTTGCAGAGGTCCCCTCACCTGGTACTTAACAGGACTGCCAATTTAAACATTTTTTGCCAAAACATTTTTAGAGTGGTAAACAAAGGTACTTTTCAGTTAACCAAACACAAGCAAAGTCATAAAAAGATTCAGATCCTTTTTAAATACATTAAAATTAAATTACACAAAAAATACTTGAATTTCTTTGCCTGGCTAACTGAAAAGTATCCAATTAAAAATTAAAGCTTTCAGATTTTTAGGCAATTTTTGAAATATATAAAAAGCTTCAACACTAGAGAGCCAGAACAAAGTGGATTTCATATAACTTTTGAATCATTTACATGTAGTGGTGAGAAAAATAATGGTAAACGAAATTTACAAAACAAATAGTTGTACATAGACTTAGCTACCACTGGAAGAAATTTTCCCAAAAAGCGTAGAAAATTTGCAGCCCGCAGTAAGAAATACTTGAACAGCAAAAAGTTTAAATTGACCTGCACTAAAGAACAGTGCTGGATTACCCATTAGGCCAGACTAGGCCCCTTTAAAATGGATTTTTTGAAAATAAATTAAAAAAAATTAAGAAAAACAATGATTTTTTAAGAAAAAATCAATTTTAAATATAAGTTAATAAAATACGATAACTTTTTTACATAACATAAAGTGTTACATAATTTAGTGAAAGTGTTAATAAATTTCACACTTTTTCAAAATGTTATGACTATTTTTTAGTTCTAATTTAACAAAATAATGCAAAATTTAATTTATTATCACTTATTTTTATTTTAAATATGCTTTCTTAAATGAAAAGATTTATAAATACTTTTAAGTTTGAATAAATAAAAAATATACGACAAAAAAAATTTAATCTAAGTGCCTTAAAAATTTGAAAGGCCTAGAGCCCCGCGTACGCTTAATCCGACACTGACTAAGAAGTTTGAATAAATATTCACCTTTTCTTACAGTTAATAAATCTATCATGCATATAATGAAAAATTAAGTTTGAAAATTATACCTCGTAAATAACGACTGCTCCATATTACTATATTTTTGAAAAGCCATGTTTTTTATAACCGGTGGTAATTGATGATGATCACCAATCATAATCCAGCGTTTAAGTCTATTGAACCCATCCTTAGGATTCTGCAACAAAAGTGGAATGAAAGTTTCAATTTCTAAAATTTGAGCTGATTCTTCCATCAAGATGTTATCATAGGTAAATCCAAGTTCTACTAATTCTTTTCTTTTTAAAGCTGCATGTGTACATGTCATTGCTATGATTTTAGCCTCTTTAACAAGTAGATACTGAGAACGATCTAAACCACTGCGAAGTAACTCAAAAGCTCTAAATTCCTCTAACTGAGAAAATATCTTCTTTATGTAACGGAAACAGCCTTCTGCAATTTCGATATCTTCTTCATACGTTTTACCCTTAAATAGAGGCTGAGGAGCTTTCTCGAAAAATTTGGAAAAGGGGAAACAATCTGCAACTAAGTTTAGAGCAACTTTTTTACCTCTTCCTGGTTTCACTTTACTTAGAAATTCTTCCCATCTAGCTAACACATGATACATAAAAAAATGTCCAGCAGTTTCACATGTATAAGAAACATCACCTGACACACCGAGACTTTCTTGAAGTTTTCGTACATGATCCAAAAGTTCGAGGCGTTTGGCTAAGACGTAATTAACTCGACCGTATCGACTGAAGTCTTTCTCGGTTTCTAAAGCTTCTTCGCCATGACCTAAACGAAGCAAATGACGTTCATCAATGTCCAAAGCCATGATTTTCTCGAAAAGCTGATTCAATGCTTGATTAGAATGAGTGACAATAAGTGTTCTTTGATTTGGGAAGTTGTGATACAAATTAGAAATTATTTGAACAGCAACATCAGTTTTTCCGGTACCAGGAGGTCCAACTACCATAGTAAGGCCAAGCTGCATTCCAGATTTAATAGCTTCAACTTGCGTAGGAGTAAACTGCACCATATTCTTTTTAGGATGAGCATATAAATAGGGTCCGGAATTAGGAAGTACATGGGGAGTTACAATAACCTTTTGCTTTTGCACTTCATTTTCAGCAGAATTTTCTTCTATTGGGAAAAATTGAATTTTGAATGGTGG